TTAAAGATCAATAAAATGTGTGTGTAGGGTCATTTTATTGGATAATTTTCACAGGTAAACACCAAACTCAGTATTCTCAGCTGTCTCATAAAATTTTTTAATTTTTTTTTTTTTTTTTTTTTTTTTTTTTACTATTCCTATAACTCAGTAGTTCTCAGATTTTACTGTGGATCAGATGCATCTGGTGACTTAGTGAAACCCAGATTGTTGGGCACCACCGCACAGTCTCTGATTTAGTAGGTATGGGAGATACCTGCCAATTTCCTTTTCTAACAAGTTTGCACGTGATGTGGATGCTTCTGGTCCAGGCACCACACTTGAAGGATCACTGATCTGTAAGACTCTTCCGGGGTGTTTCCCTGTAAGACTCTCCCTGGATCCGTCCTGGGATACCCTGATTACCTCTCAGCACTTACTGTTTACTGCACACAAGAAGTAAAGCTGAAAGAGGGCATTGAAAGTGGCTGTGGTGGGCACGCAGGCCTGGGGTGTGCGTGACCCTCCAGAATGGGGCCAAATGGGGCTCTAAAAGGCAGAATGGAGAAGAATGACAGTTTTGCCACAGGCTCAGACCACAGATGAAGGCATGTTTTTCGTATATGTGGAGGGAGGAAAGAATTATCGCTCTCCGTGGTTGCATCATCACTGAGTATGAAAGATGGCATTGTAAAATGACACTACATCCAGAAAACAACTTTTTATTCACTTCCTGGTGTAGCTCAGCCAAGAAAAATTCCAGGTATTAAGCGAGCTGATGCATCCAGTCAAATATTTATATCCATTTAATTGTTACTGTGGAGTCAATACTGGTGTGATTTGCCTTGTAAAGTGAGTGTGTGCAAGAATCTAAAATTGGCGAGACAAAAAGGGTTTTAAAAAAATTACCACGGAGTTCCTCTCTACAAATGTTGTAAAATTACTCTGTCTTTGATTTACAGAAACTGCTTGCTTATATGTATATTGGGCAGAGAAAATACATCATTTACAGATTTGATTATACAAAATACAAATGTAATGTATGTATAGGAAATATATAATGGAATTTATTCTTGAGAATGATGAGATAGATGAGATATAATCATACTTCTAAGAATTTAATCTGCCAGATAAATTGTAATTCTTGTAAAGGTTTAAATATTTATATTTTGAGCAAACATGTTAATGCTGATGCATAATCAATACACTCAGAATCAAAGAAATGCATGGGGTTGATCAGTATATTTGATCCGTGCTGCTAATGTGCTTGAAATGTTGGTGCAAAGAAATTTTTCCATTTCTGGAAATGGAGTAAAAAAATACTATTAGCTATTAACTATTGGCTTTCATTCAGCATGCAACTGTCCATGAAAATATATAGTGTTTTTTATGTGTTCACTTCAATGACATCACAGTAGTATGTATCAACTCTTCAACTCCCTTAATCCCTCAACAGTTTGTTTTATCTGCTGTGTATTATTCTACCTTATATCTATAACTAAGTTTATCTCTTTCCCTACAATGGACTTTTAGGTTGTTTCCAATGTTTCAGTGCTAGAATTTTTCAGTGAATGTTCTTGTGATTCTTGTCCTTGAGCACATATGGCATATAATCTAGAAGTGAAGTTGAATGGTATACAAATACCATTATTAGATATTGCTAGATTGCTCTCTGAAATAGTTGTACCACAGGATATTGCCTCTAGTATTGTAGGAAAATTCTTGTTTCACATTTTTCCCAATGACTGAATGTGAAAGTTTTAAATTTTGTCTAACCTGAAAAGTGTGAAATTTCATTGTTTTAATATTTATTGGTATAGATCATAGTATTGCTACAGACAGAGACTGTGCTTCTTTTCTTATTTTTCTTAGTTACTGGATTTTCTTTTTCTATGAACTGTACAATTATATACTACTCCAGTTTTTCTACTGTGTTGTCTCGTTTTTAAAAATTTCTTTTAGGAGTGCCTGGGTGGCTCAGTGGGTTAAGCATCTGTCTCCAGCTCAGGGCCTGATCCCAGGGTTCTGGGATTGAGCCCCGCACTGGGTGCCCTGCTCAGCAGGGAGCCTACTTCTCCCTCTGCTGCTCCCCTTGCCTGTGCTCTCTTTCTCTCTCTTTCTGTCAAAGAAATAAATAAAACCTTTAAGAAGTATGTAAAGATTTATTTATTTATTTTGAGAGAGAGAGAAAGAGCATGCCGGTGCAGGGGTGGAATAGAGGAAGAGGGACAGAATTCCAAACAGAGCCCCCCTCTGAGCGCAGAGCCCCCTCTGAGCACAGAGCCCAAGGCAGGGCTTCATCCCATGGCCACTGAGACCATGCAAGACCTGAGCCAAAATTAAGAGTGGGCACCTAACCAATAGAGCCACTCAGGTGCCCCTGCCTTTTTTTTTTTTTTTAATTGATTACAGGTCTCTATGTAATTCAAACACTCTTCTTGGTTATATACTTTGCAAATATTTTCTCCAGGTCTGTGGCTTGTTTTTTTTTTTTTTTAAAGATTTTATTTTTATTTATTTGACAGAGAGAGATGCAGTGAGAGAGAGGACACAAGCTGGGGTAGTGGGAGAGGGAGAAGCAGGATCCCCGCTGAGGAAGGAGCCCTATGTGGGGCTCAATTCCAGGACCCTGAGAACAGGACATGAGCCGAAGGCAGACGCTTAACTGATTGAGCCACCCAGGCGTCCCTCTGGCTTGTATTTTAATTTTATTTCGTGATAATCTTTTAATTGTGGCATAAGAAATATTATTAATCTTTTCCCCTTAAGGTTTTTAATGTCCTTTTCTTTTTGTCTTTTCTAAGAAACCCTCCCTAGTCTGGTATCCTCAGAAAGTTTTAAAGCTTGCTTTAGGTCATTAATCCACGTAAAACTATGTTGTATATTCTAAGTAGCATCAATTAATTTTTTCCATATGGATTTTTAATGGTACTAATATTGGTTATTGAATAATCTGTACTTTCATCTCTAATTTGTGTGTTTGGGTCTGTTTGAGGTCGTTGTTGGTTTTTTTTTTCCATTGTTCTATTGACTTATTTCTGTACTCATAGAAAACATGCATTTCTCTTTCTCTGTGAATTCATTAAATAGCTCCTTGGAATGTCACCATGCCTGCCATAGTTTCTGTCAGATAAGCAATAGTCTGTGGACATCGATTTGGCCCCTGATATTGAATCAGCGAGCTGGTCTTTAGTGCCGTCTACCAAACAATGCCAGCTCTCTGCCTTCTGGAGAACGGTGTGATTGTGTTTCCTACTCTCTGTATTTAGGCACAAATATATGACTTATTTGCAATGGTTTCATTCTTGTATAGAAACTTTAAACTAGAAGCTGCAGGAACCAGCCTGTGGTTGGCCACATATTTCACTCCTGCCTTAGCAAACGTGGAAGCATGGAGATGGAAATGCCCTAGGTAGAGCTAGAGACAGACCTAGAGCAGAGCCCACATGACCTTCCATGGACATGCAGCTAAGGGAAAAGCAGATCTCTGTTGTCTTAAACCATGGAGATTTTTAACATTGTTCATTAATATAACCTGGCATATCCTAACTGATATAGTTAATATTGTGTATTTCCAACTTGATGATTGGCAAAATGGTAAACAAGCACCTTGCCTTTGTTAGAGGGTAATGATTGTGTTTTAGTGCCTCTCTTTCTACTTCCTTTCCCCTCTTCCTTCTGATTGTATCACCCTCAGTAGACTCATACTCCCCAGTATCCATGACCTGCTAAGCCAGTCCATGACCTGTCATGCCAACTAGAGCCAATTTTTGGTGGCCTGTATGTCCTCCCCTCAGCCTGCAGCTCCCCCAAGCCCACGTTTCCCCTCTTTGAGTGCCTTCATTTTTAAAGATGATACCTGGAAAGATAAAATGTTTTACCTAAAACTTTAAATGATAAAGATCAACTTTGTGACTCTAGAGTGAGGTGTCATGAAGTTTTCTCAACTTCTCAACTTTCTCAACTTCCTCATATGATCACATTAGTGTCTACAGACTTTATCTACATCTTAGACTGGTTCCAATGTGAAGATCCATAATTCTTGGGGCACCTGGGTGGCTCAGTCAGTGAAGCACCCAACTCTTGATTTCAGCTCAGATCATGATTTCAGGTTCCTGGGATCGAGCCTTGCATCAGCAGAGGGCTCCCTGCTCAGCAGAGAGCCTGCTTCTCCCTCTACCTGCCACTCCCCTTGCTTGTGCTCTCTCTTTTTCTGTCAAATAAATAAATAAAATCTCAAAAATAAAATAAAATCCATAATTCTTTGTTGGGATTAAACACATTCACAAATATGTGTTTAATATCTGACTTTTATATATCTGGAATGTTCAGGATGGAAGGGTAAAGATGAGAGGTGGGGGGAGGCACTAGGAAGATACTTCCCAAGTGGAAACATCTTTTTCACATCATCTCTCCACCAAGGACAATTTCCTTTATATTTGATAAGTTCCTCCTAAGCATGCAAAGATCATCTCATATTATGGTGCCATTGGGCAGTAATGGATGGAGTGGGGTGGTGGTGGTGGGGAAATTAATGCCCAGAGAACTACATTTTTAATTGTTCACACTTTAATATGAAATGTAGGACTCCTTTGATTGGAGTGTTTGCCTCCTAGCACCTAGAAGGTGTTAGGTGAGGTGGTGAAAGTTTGATGGTGATGGTGAATAATTATAGAGCATGGAACCCAGCAGGCTAATGTGGTGGGTCCACCCCGGAGGCTTTGAACTTGACAGAAGGAGGACACATTACCTCTCGGACAGAATAGAACTCAGATGTGAGAAAGGATGTAGTAGCAGGCATCAGCCAAATCCCTATTCTATAATTTTTAAAAGACTCCTGGTAAGGATTACAGACATCCAGAAAAAGCATCTCAAGTATCAAAAGGTGCCATTTATACCTGTAATAGTTTCAGTAAAGAATAGCAAACATTTCTGATGTTAGAATACTTTCTTGCCAAACTTCCTGCTCCTTAAAAAATGACTGTTGATTGGTTAATTAAAGTTTACATCTGTCTCTTTTTTAGGTGGTTCTTTGGAGCAATCAAGAGAACAGATGCAGAAAAACAACTATTATATTCAGAAAATCAGACTGGTGCCTTTCTAATCAGAGAGAGTGAAAGCCAGAAAGGAGATTTCGCCCTTTCAGGTATGGGCATTGTTTTGTGTGATTTAAGTGTGGGTTTGAGAGTCTGTAGTAATGAACCTGCTGTGTGAGCATGGACAGGTTAATTTGAAATTTGCCTTATTTCTTATGTTCATAATGAGTGCCAAATTAAATCTGAACTGCCCAAGAGTAATGCAGAAATTAGCAAGCAGTTTCTGTCTGTGATAGGACTCTCTGTAAGCAAATATGTGCGCTCTGGATATGAAATGACAATCATATAGATCAGGCTGCATTTTCTCACTTTTGCATTATCTAGGGGTCTGTCCTTCTAGGGAAATGATAAGCCCAAAGTGAAAACTACGCTGTTGTCAAAAATTGTTCTTTCCCCAATACAGTTTGACTTTTTGTGTTTCATTTGTCTTTGCCTGGTAAATAAATTAAAAAAAAAAAAAAGAATTGAAATGCTGGATGCAGTTGCATTTAGTTAACTCCATGACATGTAAAATTTAGCCAAATGTAGTTTTCTAACTAAGAGTAAAATACGTGTTTACTTTACATTTTCTTAGGAAGGAAGAAAGACCTGGGAATGGCCTTTAATTGTTACAGGTGCTAACATGCATGTCTCTGCCTTCAAGAATCTATGTTTCTTGGGGCACCTGGGTGGCTCAGTTGGTTAAATGTCTGACTCTTGGATTTGGCTCAAGTCTTGATCTTGGGGTTCATGAGATGGAGCCTCTCAACCCCCTTTCTGGGTCAGACTCCCTACTCAGCGGGGAGTCTGCTTGGGATTCTCTCTCTCTCTCCCTCTGCCCTCCTCCTGCTCATGCTCTCTCTTTAAAATAAATGAATAAATGTTTAAAGAATTTGTTTCTTGGTGTATGTTGCAAGGCTACAGAACGTCCTTTCTTAAAGACCAACCAGACCATCTGTCATGTGACACTTTTTCTCTCCTTGCTCTGCTCTGACTTCTGTTTTGCCTGGGCCCATCTTGTGCTATTGTCCGCTTTAAAGTGTGCACTATGGCTAGATATAAACCTTTTGGGGGAAAGGATTTTGCCTTCCTTTATCCTTATTGCCCTGCAGTAAATGTTTATTGAACACAATGCCTATGTACCTTATTGTGTCCGCCTAGCTCACTGAGCTGAGGTCAGGACAGCCTTCATGGTGCACCAGGGAAGCAAGCCCTGAGCTCAACATGTCCTAGGAACTTTGATTGGATCTGAACTCAGGCCAGACTGTGTGTGTTTGGGACCCATTTTTCTTACTCACACCAGGCAGTCGCAAATATTGGGGCAGATGGGTGGGAGCTGGAAAGGAGTAAGGGCAGTGGTGTTGAAGCACCTTTTTTCAGAGGCTTCATCCTTCAGCCCCTGCCTCATCCTGCACCAAGTTCATATGGTGTTCTCAGATTGTTTGGCTTCATGTCCACCCGTGCGTAGGGGATGCTGTTCTGATTACCATTTCTGGAATGTACCACTGACCTTCCTAATCTTGCTTATGCCCAAGGTGTTAATGAAACAGTATCATGACTGACAGTGATGCCCCATTAGCCTGTGACTTCATACTAGGGCACACCTATCCACACCTGGGTGACATACATGAATATTTTATTAGATCTAATAACTTTTTTCTGATCATGAAAGGAATATCAGCATTGTTATATAAATAGAGAAGCTCAAAGAAGAATCAAAAATATCACCTTCTGAAGGTACATTTTTCATATCTAAATACCTTTCCTGGCAAGCTTTTTTCTGTACTTCAACTGTAAGTATATTTAAACAAACGCACATTTTTTAAAAATTTATTTATTTGATAGAGAGAGTGGGATCACAAGTAGGCAGAGAGGCAGGCAGAGAGAGAGGGGGAAGCAGGCTCCCTGCTGTGCAGAGAGCCCGATGTGGGGCTTGATCCCAGGACCCTGAGATCATGACCTGAGCTGAAAGCAGAGGCTTAACCCATTGAGCCACCCAGGTGCCCCAACAAACACGCACTTGTATTCAGAAAATAAATGGAGATCATCTTGTAAAGAACAAAAATATAAATATAGATATGAGTGTGTATATATGCTATCTGTATTTATTTATACATACACACATATTTGTGTGTGCACACACACCCAGTGGACCTAGGCTGCATTTTTCTTATTTGTCTCTCAGTGTCCTGTGAACAATTTTGCATGTCCTTTCATATCCTTCTACATCATTATGTTTAGAAACCACATAACCTTCCATTGTATGAGAATTTCATCATTTAACCTATTTCATGTTTTATGTATTTTTTAGCTATTTTGCTGTTATAAAGTATGATGCCATGAACATCCTTATAGATAAATATTGGAAGATTTCCATGAGAATGTTATACTCCGAGGAAGAAAAAACAAGTCTTTTGGAAATCTCTATGCTTCATGATAAGAGATAGAAGAGAATTCCCAATTTAAATGTATCCATTTGTTTATTTGGCTTTCCCAATATTTATATGCAAATTCAGGTAATCATTATTTAGCTAAAAGCGAGATTAAATGTTTTAGATTAGCATTAAACATATAGAAGAAGATTTCCATGAGGAAAACAAACTGAAAGAACGACTTGAGTCATATCTTTGAATGATGCCCAGGCTGCAGTGACTATTCTGAACACTTTCCAAGTAGAATATTATGGAACAAAACAGCTTTACAGGCTTAGAACAAAATTACAAGGATATTGGCTTTTATGTGCTGAGAATACTCTAGCGCTTGCTTATGGATTTAGGAAGCTTTGTAGGCCTTGCTTGGAAACCGGGATATCATTATAGATTCTTTTTGAATGAAGTCAAACAATTATCTTTCAAACAAGAGTCTTTCAAACAAATTATCTGATTGCTGTGTATTCACTGGGGGACAAAGTAAATGCGGACCATTATAGTCTACTGAAAGGAACATTTTCTTATTAGCCAGAAGGAGGGCTATCCAAGAGAAAAATGGAACGAAAAAGGTCTTCAAGATGTCTACATTAAAACAAACACACAAACAACCGACCCCACTGCTGACCGTTGATTACCACTGAGGATCTTCCGATAGACCATGGATTGATTTCTTAGTGCAGTTGTCCCCTTAATCAGCCTGAATTGATGGTCTTCCATTTTGCTGACTGCTCTGCTGCCAAAGGAAGGCAAATAATACCCCCTTTCTAGCTCTGTCTTTCCCACACACGTTTTCCTTGGAAGTCTTGTCTTTATTCCTTGAGCAGCAACGGCTTTGCAGCTGTCAGAAGAGCTTCATGACAGAGTGTGATTTATGGACGCTGGGGCGGGCTGGAGAAGCGGCAGCCCAGGGTTGGGTGGGAGCTAATTGGCTTGTTGTGATCCTTGCATGGCTGTCGGCTCTTAGGAGGTCTGAGTAGATGTGGAAAGAGAGTTAGGGCCGTGACACTTCTCTTAATGGCAAGACACTAATTAGCTGTGAATTACAGCAGCACTTTTGGATATTACATATTATATGTGGTCGCCAGAGAATCTGTCTTCATTAGATGCGTGACAGGTAGTTTTAGTAGCCTTACTGTTGTTTGTCACTGATAGTGAATTGTTTTTCTGATGAAAAATATAAAATTTCAATTGCACATCAACTTTCTTGGTTATTTTTTTACTTCAGTCGAGTCCTTTAAAGGCAACCATTATTGTTATCACCATTAATATTAAGTTGATGTTTGGAGTTCTATACACATTTATATTATTGTTTAAAATACAGTTTGAAGAAAACACACTTAGAGGGCTAAAACTGAGCTGTAGGTAGGTTTTTCAGAAGAGACTCTGCATTACACATTGTCATTTTACTTTGGGCAACGCTGCATATAGAAACCTCCAGAGTAGTAGAGGGGATCCCAGATTCATCATCAGTGAAACCCTTTCAAGAGCAAGCAATAACAGACTGAAATAGTTGAAAAATGACGACATCGAGGACCCAAAGCAAAAAAGCCCATCAGCGGTATTCAGGGAGATGCCTTAAGGAATTGACATCATTTATTTATATATTTGCTTATTTCTCCAACAAATATTCAAGTGCTTACCATGGGCCAGGCCTTTGCTCAGTGAAGGGCAGCAAAGACAATAAGGCACAGTCCCGGGACCCAGTCTTTGGGAAGATTATAACAGAGCTATCTAGTGAGAGCGGTGGGGACAGGGACCCATCTCTAACGAGGGGGGCAAGGAGGTTTCACAGAGGAGGAAGCATTTGTGTTCTGGCCTAATTTCTATTGCCAGGTAGCAGTGTAGGAAGGCAAGTGCACAGGGTTTTATGTCTGTGGTGTGTGTGTGTGTGTGTGTGTAGTGGGAATGGAGAATAGGAGAGGAGAGGAGGAATGGTAGAAAATGAGCCTGGAAAAGAAAGGTGGAGCTACACTATTCAGGGCCTTGTATACCATGTGAGGAATTTGGACCTTGTTCTACAGGGGAAGTTTTAGGCAGAAAGTGACCTGGTCTGACCTTCGAGAGCATGTGGAGAAGGGACAAGGTTTATAGATGATAGTCTTCGGAGGAGTGACAGGGCAAACAACAGTGGCATCTCTCATCCCTGTTTGAAATCCTAGGTGCGTGCAAGGCATCAGAATTCATCATCATCCCACACAGCGGGGCAATGGGACCCAAGCTTAGGGCTTCCACTGAGGCTCTGCTCTGGCACAGGGCATGCCTAGAAGCCACACGGCCTGTCTATTGCTGCGCTTTTCTTATGGGGCAAGTGTGGGAATCGCCTGAGAATCCACGACAGCAGTTTTTGCCTTGGTGTTGAGCAGTCTGGCTTTTTATCAACTATTTGCCAGGTTATTTGGAAATCTCAGCACCTATGGGCTTTGGGCACGGTGGGAAACTGCCGCTTCTTTTTCGTCCAAGGAAACCGTGGGATCTCTTGGAAGTGGAGTTCAGGTGCAACCCCTCCTCCTGATAGAGGGTGACAGTGAAACAGGCCCAGTGGGTCCTTGCCACACAATCAAGAATGAGCTCCTAGGGTTCTTCACTAGAGAATCCTGCTTATCTCCACAGATGATAGCCTGAAGCAGAGCAGAGGTACGGCA